CTAAAATATTGGAGTTAGGTAAAATATGTATAGGACCTTATTTGTAGAGCATTTTATGAGCATCCCGATGGTGAGAGAACATGGCAAAAACTAATTTTCACTGATTACAGCGCCATCTATCACGATTCGAAAAAATGTCTCGGACAAAACTTACGTATTTTTTTCCAAGGAATCCGAATCTGCAATACAAAATGGGGGTTCCCATTTGAAATTTCAAAGTTGCCATTCGCCCCACCCCCAAGGGGCGGTGGGGGCGAGTTAATTTTACACAGGCAGACGTCCCCCTTGATAATATTAAAAGTTTATTTGGGACATTTTTTCGTACAATGCTTATTTTTCTAAATATTTAGTTGTCTCAAGTTAAATGGGACACCCTGTATATTCATAAAATATAAACTTTTAAATTAAACTAAAAATGTACTTACAATTAGTACTTATGTCTTAACACTGGACGTTTAGACTCGTCTAAACTACCGCTCATAAATATTGTTATGGACAAAATGATAAATGAGGCATTATGCATAATGCCCGCGACTAGTCGGACAAAGTGATAAATAAATAAATAAATTGTTTGTGGTATGCGCGGTTTTTGCGTTGATTGGCTCATGTGAGCGAGGAGAATGCAAGTGTTACGTGTAGCCTCAAGAGGGCAAGAGTTAGTTCGGTAGAAAAAGGGAACGCCGCTTGTAAATGTCTGAAGAACAGAAACAAAGAATTTTGTTTTGTTTTGGCGTGATATAAACTTGATATACGTAAAATTATTCACCACCTACATTGCGTGAAAAATATTTGATCCTTTGAGCCGGATTCTGCGGGTTTGGCATAGCAACGATTGCAGTACACATTACACAAAAGAAGAAGGTTAAGTTTTCTCGCTCGCACATGTGGTGCAACGCAACGAAGAGCGAAAAACAAGGAATCGATACCACGATACAACGTGACGACGAATTGGAACATCGAGGAAAAATCATGTGTTTGTTTCAGTACATCGGTCGAATCATACATAAGCATTAACACGGGAATTAGAAGCTCTCAGACGCACACGCGGCACATACAAATGTCACGACTTACACATTTTGAGACATTCCTAGAGAGATTTGGTGAGTCAGGCGAGCCGGTGGAAACGCCTCGAGACGCGAATCGAATTTCTAATTAACCTATAACCTACCTTCGAAAAAGTGCGACATCGAGGAGTTAGACGCGACGGACAACAAGCGAACAGGCATAGACGAGCGGTATTGCTTGTTGATAGGAAGAGCACGAGCCCTCGTCAACGCTGGAAAGCGTCTAAATCAGAACAGGCAAGCAAACAATCAACAAATTCAAGACAACGATCGCGGTAATCTCAACGGAGGTTATGGATGAGCAAGGGAGATGAAGGTTAAGTTACCGACAATGAGTCTCCCTGTATTCGGTGGTAACCCAGAGCAGTGGTTATAATTCAGAGATAACTTTCAAGGGCTCATTGATTCAAATGCAGAGCTATCAGACATCCAACGCATGTATTATTTGCGATCTGCTCTCAAAGAGCGGGCAGCAGAAGTAATTCAATCATTGGAATTTTTCGCAGCAAATTACGCGATTGCCTGGTCATTGATGAAACGTCGATATGAAGACAAAGCCACAATTGCTAATCGTCATCTGCAGTTGTTGCTCGATATTCCCATTATGCAAAGGGAAGCAGGAGGACTGCTGAGACAAACATTGGACAGTATATTGAGACATCTCCGTGCCCTCGAGCAGCTCAAGGCAAATATGTGGGATACAATTATGATCCACATCTTGACGTCTAAACTCGATAGTGCTACAAAACGTGAATGGAGATCGCATGCAAAATCGTAGGATAATTTAGATGTGAGCGCGTTGACTAATTTTTTGGAGGAGCGATGCTTCATTCTAAAGCCAGAGAATCCGAAATCCGAAGCGGGAAAAACAGCCACAGCAACAGATAAACGAACATCAAAGCAAACAAAGAGATCTGAGCAATCTAGTTCTTTCGCTACTACGAGCGGTGGAAAACAGGGTTTGCGCAAATGTGCTCATTGTCAGGAGGAGTCACATGTCATTTATTCGTGTCCTAAATTTCAGGCATTGGACGTCCCGAAAAAGCAGCTTCTAGTAAAGGCATTGAAGCTCTGTTGGAATTGTGTGCGGAGCAACCATTTCGCATCAAATTGTACTTCGACTCATTGCAAGAAGTGCAATAGCAAACATAATACGCTACTACATGTCGACGAAGAAGCAGTCGAAGCAAAGCAGCAGCCAGACGATGGCAGTCATTCAAGTACAAATAAGGCTGTGGCTTTAACCTCAACAATCAATCTTCAGCAGCCGTCACCGTCACAGGTCTTGCTGTCAACAGCTCGAGTGTGGATGCTCAATGCAAATAGTGGCCGCATTGAATGCAGAGTGATACTCGACTCTGGATCTCAATTAAACTTCATGACTAGAGAGTTATGTCGGCGTCTAGGATTACCTACGCAAATTCAGGACTGTTGTGTCAAAGGATTGGGTCCAACAATCGAACTTAATCAAACTACCGAAGCAGTCATTCAATCCAGGCACACGGCTTACTGTACTAAGGCACGATTCCTCATCACGGAGCAGATATCAGAAAGATTACCCATGGCTGTAATCACTGTGGATCATCTTACCATTACCATCAAATCTACGCTTAGCGGATGAGTTATTCCACATCCCGGACAAGGTTGACGCATTACTCGGCTCAAGCATATTTTGGGATCTGCTTTGCATCGGCCAGATCAAGCTAGGCCGACAGCCTATCATGCAAAAAACTCACCTAGGTTGGATAGTGGCAGGAAATCTTATACCAGACAGCGAACCAATTATTGTTATTATTATCAGAAGTCTACAGCCCATATCGAGCCTTGGCTTCCTGTATGCAGCGCCTCCATCTGTCCCGGTCCAACGCCACCGTTCTCCAGGATCTCATCCCAAGAAGCGAGATGCTATCCTCATCCACTGCGTCCTTCCACCTTCCTCTCGATCTCCCCCTCGGTTTACTTCCGTACATCCTATCCCTAAGTGCTTTCTTTGGTATTCTCGTGTCTTTCATCCTTTGCACATGCCCGGCCCATTGTAGCCTTCTCAACCTAATCACACCGACCTCAGGTTCATCGTATATATCATATAGCTCATTATTGTACTTAATCCTCCACTCCCCTTCGTCCTGTACGGGGCCCAGAATCCTTCTAAGCACTTTCCTTTCGAAAATGTTTAACATTTTTTCTGAGGTCTGTGTTAGTGTCCAAGTTTCACCCCCGTAACACAACATCGGTCTTACAATAGTTTTATATATGCGAATTTTTGTTTTTTGTGGACCCGTCGTGATTTAATTATTGGTAACACTGCGTTTTATTTGCGATCTGGATTTTCCTCCTGATTTCTTCGGTATCATTTGCGTCCGCTGACAAGTTTGATCCTAGATAGGTGAATTTCCCCACTCTCTCAATGTTATGCCCGCTGATTGTGATATTTTGACTCCTTTGGGGGGGGGGGGTGCGTCTTGTCTGTGTCATCATTTTCGTTTTGTTCTCATTTATGTTTAGCCCAACTTCTTTTGCTGCTTCCTCGAGACTCATCATGATCTCCTTTGCATATGCGAATGAACGCGACATAATATTTATGTCATCCGCATATGCCACTATTGTGTGTTTCTAGAGATCATCGTTCCTCTCGTATCGACCGGTAACTTCCTTATAACATGTTCCAGTGGTATGTTAAAAAGTGTCGGTGCTAGCCCGTCCTCTTGTTTCAACCCGTTTCTTGTGTCAAACGGGTCTGTAAGCCCGTCCTGAGTTCTGACTTTGTGATATGGAGTTTATTATCGTCATTCTAGTGAGTCTTACTAGCTTCCCTGGGATTCCAAGTTCTAGCATAATCCGATATAAAGCTGATCGGTCTATGCTGTCATAGGCTTGTTTGAAGTCCACGAATATCTGATGTACATCGATGTTGTATTCTTAACATTTCTCCAAAATTTGTTTCACTGTAAATATTTGATCAGTCGTTGAACGTCCGGTCCTGAATCCACCCTGATATTCCCTGATAATTTCCTCAGCGTATGATTTAATCCTTCTTTTCAGCACTTTTGTTAGTATTTTGTAAGTAGAGCAGAGTAAAGATATCCCTCTGTAATTCTCGCAGTTCTGTCTGTCCCCCTTCTTGTAAATGGGGCAAATTATGCTTTTCCTCCATTCTTCCGGCATGTCTTCGTGCTCCCAAATTCATTGCGTTAGTCTGTGGATGGTCGCCGTTATACTTCTTCCTCCGGTAGTAGTTCTGCTGGTATTTCGTCCGCACCCAGCGCCTTGTTTGCCTTTAAACTCTTTCTAGTTTCGTTTATTTCTATTATAGTTTGTGGGTCAATTATAAGTTTATGGGCGTATTGCCCAAAGGATGTGTTCGACTTGGCTAAAGATTATGAAGACCAATTTGTTAGAAAATGTAATTTATTTTCCTCGTCAGAGAAGTGAATATATGTACATGTGCTGTATTCAGTTTGAATTGATTGATTGCGCCAGAGGCGCTTTCTCGGTGTGTGTGTGTAAGACCGAGAAATTAAAAGAAAAATTGACGGGCGCGGTAAGAAATTACCGGCCGCGTCTTTATATATTGAACGGGTCCTAAAAAGGACGGTTCTATCGAATTGGCTCGTTGTAGTCCCTTTCCCGGTGTTGGAGGAACTCCGTTTGGAAAATGGTCTTCCGTCTGGCAGCTGCTCTCCAAGCAAGCTCTAGGCGGCAAAGTCTGGATGGCTACGGAACGAGTTTCCGGTGTGCCTGTAGCTGCAACCGTCTCGGCTCTCGGCGTAACAGAATGCTCTGTGTACCGAGGAGAGAGAGGTCTCCGAATTCGGATGTCGCCAGCAACGAGAGTGTCCCTTGGTGGCCGAGTCAACCGGACGCAGAACTCTAGGGGAATTAGCTTCCACGCTAGAGTCTGAGGAGGTGACGGCGGTACTGATGTGTCAGCGGGCCGCTTGGTTGAAGTGTGCGGCCGATGCTGGGACTCTGTTTTTCTTTTATGTGCCTTGCGAGGCAACATGAGAAAAACGACGAGACAAATTTGCCTCTGGTTAAGCTCTGCTAAAGCAGAGTAAGACTCAGATCAAGGGCCCTGTAGAGAGCTCGCTTTGAAGCGAGTGAGTGAAGAAAAATCTGCGGAGAAGCTCTTTTATACCGCTTCGATCGATGCTTGATCGCGAAG